GACCAGTATGTAATAACTATGTTCCAAACTGTGGTTTCAAGAAGCATAGCGAACTACAAGGATTTCCTCTTTTCAAACAAAGATGTGGTTCATTTCATTTAGGAGTTTATTTAAACTTCTGTTAAGGGGTACTGATGGAAACCTCTGCTATGAATATAACAAATGCCAGTGATGAATTAATAGTGTAAAGGACTGTCTTATTTGCTAAAAATTACACAAAATACTATAAAGAATTAAGCATCTACAAGACAGGAGTTTAAGATCAAAATGCAAAGAAAAACTAGAACTGAAAAGGTAGGATTGTATCTATTGCAACCTGTTCTCCAACACTAGGCTTCTGATATGACCTTTGGGGTGTGGGACAATGACAAAATTCATTAATGCTCAAATGTGTTCACCTAATATCTTGATGACAGAAAATCAAGATAGCAAGAAAATCAGAAAGCAAGTCATGTCAATAACTGAAATGCAAGCAGCCAAGCAAAAGGAAATCTGTTTTTAGAAAGCCAATCTTTTGCTGAGATGCTTATTCTGGGTTTGAGAATATACTGCATCACAATTCAGAAAGATGCCTTGGTTTATGCTATTCCACACAAAACTATTTCCATGCATTAAAAAGGCAATATTTAACATTACATGTGCCTCACATTAACTTGCTATAAAGAAGTTATTAGTTTCACAAATTCATTTGGGTTCCTGTTTGCAATCTAAATTAATGAAGCCACATTAAAAAGTACATGGATGAAGACTAGTCCAATATTATGACCATTCCTATCCAAAGAACTGTGCGAAATCAAGAAAATCTCTAAACTGTCTGAAGCCATCTACTACCTATGATGTCAAGAGCAACCCTCAGAAGATACGGCTGTTGAACACAGACAGCTTTGTGAGTGGCTCCTTAAAAGAAAAGACTGGCACTGTTAGCACTATGCTCCATTTTTTGAAGTTGTAATTATTTGGAAGTGAGAAGGCAGCAAGCCAAACAGAAAACCTCAGCAGGGCAGAGTGACAAGCTTGCCTGAGGGCAGGTCAGAGAGACCATTGCTGTCCCCTCAGAGGAGACAAAGGCCCACCTGTCACTTTTAGAATGGCAGGAACTCAAACACTGTAGTAGTTTATATAGTCTGTCTGCGGGTTCAGTCGTGATCAACCTTTATTTGGCTGACTGCCACTGAACTAAGGCTAACCTTACCCCTAAACAATTGGGGTTTTAACACACAAGAAGGTTTACTTTCTGGTTTACTCTGAAGGCCATCAGACAGGAATGATGAGAATGACACAGAGAAAACATTTCCCAGGCAGCTACTAATATCCAAGAAACCCTGTATCTTGGCAGCAAATTTACCACAGTAATCATTGCTAACCCCAACTGCCATAATGAGTAAGTATTTTTTAAAAATGAAACTTATAACCTTTAAGCAATTCCCTAGAAAGATCCATATCAGCTTTAGACTGACTACCAGCATAGTTTTTTGAAATGCTAATAGAGAAGCAAAAGAAAGGAAGAAAGTACTACTATAAGCTGGCATGGTTTAAAATTATACATACTAAGCAAAATATGCAATCTAAAGGAGAAAAACACCTCTGTGTCAGATCAAGGATTAAGCTAACTACTGGTTAAATTAAAGCAAGACTTCATTTCCTGCACTATTCCTCTGTTCTCTCTACTTTTGTCCTAAACAAAAGAAAATATGGATCCAGAGATCCCACAAGCAGTAAAGAATTCCCAGGGCCAACCACTGATGAGGAAGGTAGAGGAATTTTTGCCTGCTTCCAAAGTCTTAACAAAGCAAAGGTATCCTCTTGCATGGCACTCAACTCTTAATGGCTATATTCACACAGTACAGAAGTGGTTTGTAAGTCCGATGCGTTTTTAAGAACCGTGAGAGCATCAAGGACTCCATAGTTCAACCCTGAAATATAGGTACTCTCTTCCATTATTTTTATTTTAACTTCCCAATGTATTCAAAGAGATTTGGAATTACAGCACTCGCTTATCCAAGTACTAACCAGGGCTGACCCCGTTTAGGTTGAGATCAGATAAAGGTAGTTACATGTTGACACCTGTTTAGGCGCATTTGTCTCATGCCCTAAATAATCCATTCCAAAAGATTGGAGAAGAACTTTTCCCACAGATAAGAGTAACTGCAAGGGAAGAACAGTGAAATTTGCTCTTCTCCTTGATGGATCCTGCAAACAGAATTTCTACCCTGTATCAAAGGCCAAAGAAAACTGCATTCGTCAACCCAATAAATAACTGTAATCAGTAGAAACCAATTTACAAGTACCAGGTTTTTGTCTGAGTTATTATGTTGGCCCTTAGCTCATTGCTCTCATAACAAGTCTAAATACAAAATAAAAAAATCACAATGTTTCTGGAAATCCTGCTAACATGGACATCCAGCTCATTTTATGTCCACAACAATCCTTTGAGGCAGGTGACATGACAATGATTGATTCAAAGTTATCCAGTAACTCTGAGGTTGAGTGGGGTCTTGCCCAGTCCATTACACTACATAAATAGAAATACGTAATGGCATATTAAATAAATAAGTAATATGTGTGAAAAATCATCTTAATTTTATAAAAGATGGCCAGAATACGAAACATACTTTCCTGGATACCATCCACTTTGCTTAAAGGCAAAAGACATGCAAAGAGGGAATAGAAAAAGCTTGCCTACATCAAATTATGTTCCTACCATGCAGGTAGAAGCCTGTTCAAGCAATGTTAATTTTCACTTTTGGAAAATACTGCCAACATGAAATAACAGCTATGGAAATAAGGACAAAATAATCCCCAAGATTATCATGACTGTTTGCGGTGGTTGTTTTGCCATGCTACTGCAATTTCTTTTGCTAAAGTTTGGAGTTCATGGGACATAGATCTCTGAAGGCATCTATTCCCTTTTATAACATTAGATGCATACATCGGTAACATTACAATCGATGAAAAAAAAAATTCCCATCACTACATTTTGTACAAAAAAAAATGTTGTCGGTTGTGACGACTTCGGTTATGTCTCCTGATGGTGCCTTGCTAAGCATTTGGTTATAAGCCATAAAACAGGAATAATTTTCAGCCTGTCAGGAGTCTAGCTAATGCCCAGTTTCCCCCTAGAGAGAATTCCTGTCAAATGTAATGAGAGCTCTGAAGACCCTCTCTACAACATAATGAGCACTTAGGCCAGGTTGGTGATCAGCCAGCAAAAAGCATCAATTGGAGCCTAGCTACTCCCTAGGGGATACACATCAACAGTTTTAATAAGAATTATGATTACTCCCCAGCAAATGCATAAGAACATACTGTTCATGTTTAAATCATGAAATTCTCACATACACACATCCTCTTTTCCAGGATGAATTCATTTTCTTTTTTTCAACAAGATTGTTAAGATAAGAGAAATAGTTAACTCTATTAGTTAAAGTATTGGCAAAATCAATACTACTACCTCTGTTGCATACTATAAAAAAAATGGCAAACTTCTACCAAATATATTATTTTGGCAATTTCCTTTTACAGAAATAATATAGACCATTCTTGTTGTATCTGAAAATGTTATTTATAAATTTCATATTCAGATTAAATAAAATTTGGTACAGTAATTGCACAGGCTAAAATAACACTCCCAGTTCCAAAGTTCTTTCTGTTTTCTTTGTTTAATCTTTAAATAAATCCAGTTTTCAATTCTAGTTTCCAATTTACACATTTGGTTTCCTGTTAAAGAAGAAATTTTTAAAGCTAGTCACAATATCAGATGAAAGTATGACCAATGAAGCTCATAAAACCTGTGATCTGTAACAAGCTATTAGTAAGTTTTAAGCAAATGGCAGCCTACACATTTTTGGGGCTTGTTTGTTTTTGGAAAAACATTAGTATTTAGTACAATGTAATAATACAATTTTCAAAGCAAATAAAGAAAATTATGAAAGGAAAAATGAGAATTCTTAATACCTAAATTTCAACAATATAGTTAAGGCTTGAATGTGCCATTATTTATGTGACCAAATGTTTAATATGTAAATATCAAATACACTACTTATATCTAAAAAGCATCCATTTTTGAGAGAATCATAATTCTGGATTACCAAATGTTCTTGCATCTGATGGATTTTACACATACTCCCCCCAAATCAAAGAGTTCAGAATTACAAAAGCAGAATTCAGCATTCAAGCACACTTGCTTAATGGGAGCCTTTGAATACACTGAAGATGTGAAACCTGAACGAATCAATTTCTTCACTTTGCCTTAGCTGGTCAGCCATGCTCCTTAATTTAATGAAACAAGAGTTTCAGATGAAATAGCACATATACATCAAGAAAGAATTGTATTGTTGCACTTTGAAATGTATCCAACTGTGCAACTTCATCTAATGATAATTTTTTTAAGAGGCCATCAATTTCTGAAAGACTTATTGTACCAGCATCTTGATGAAAAAGTGGATGTCAGCATATCTACAGAATATTTACACCCTGCCATTAATGCTTTCTTTGGCAGACAATAACTACTCAATTGAAGGTCCTTTGGGCTGAGCAATCATTTAGCTTTCTTTCTCTTATGAGGTCCTTAGTGCCTTGTTCCAGTTCAATACTCTTTTTATTCACCATTATAGTAGCCATAAGTGTGAATTTTATGGGAACTTGCAAACTCAGTCATAAGGAATGCTTTCTAAGACACTAATCTTTTCATGCTTTTAAATGGCTTGGATTTGAGCAACCATCAACATATGCTGCCTAGACATAAAATACTGGTTAGGCAGATTCAAGGACTTGCCAACCCCGAATATCCTTCTAGAAAACTATTTCCTTGAAAATATTTAATTTTAAGCATCTCTCATATATAATGGTGAAGGCCAAGATAGTATTTATAAAAACTAAATGGAAATTGGTAGGGAAATTTTTCCTATATTTCTCTAACCTTTTAGATATTCATGTAATGTAATATAGCAAAATTGCTTGCATTTTGTATAACACAGAATTCAATAAGAACAATTTCTTACCTGTTTGTGCATTTCAATATTTAATCCATATGACATTTCATAATACTGTGAATAAAGCAGAGAAAAGTTTAATTAAAACACAGATACAAACACACAAACAGCACTTCTGTCATGCCCAGAATTTCATTTTCTCTTGTTCCAAACAAGCAGAAGTAAACCACACATTAAAACTGTGGTAAAGCTGATTTTAATGAACAACAGGGGATGTCCTAAAATGTATTCAGCAATGGAGCAAGCTGCTAAGGGAGATCCTGAGTCTTTTACTGGAGGAAGTTAAACAGAAGCTGGACTACCATCTGTCAGGGACACTAGAGTGTATCCTGCCCTTAACAGGTTAGACCAGACATGTCAAAACCGCGACGTCATGTGACATCACGCAACGTATTGGAGCTTTTTCCCCATTGCCGGCAATGGGGTGGGCGTGGTTTCCCAGTGACGCATCCGGCCCGCGGGCCGGCAGTTTGACACTCCTGGGTTAGACTATTCTCTCTGGTTTCTGATTTTACACCTCAATAAAGCAAATAGATAAACAAGATTGTACTTACCATAACATAGTGCCTTTGCATTTCTGTTTTTTCACTTGCCAACTTCTCACATTCCAACTTAAGGCTATAAAGATAAAGTTTATATTTGTTTTAAATATATGAATTTAAGATATGCTTTTATTTTCATTCTGAAAAGATACTAGTTATGGAAACTGTCCTGGGATCTCAAAATAGAAAAACAGAGATGTTTAGCAACCCACTTTAATAGATGATGACATTTGAACATGCAGAGGAGATCAGAACAGATAACGGATTCCTGACATATAGAAACAATTTAATACAGTGGGAAAATATGTTGTTAAAAAGGTACTAACGTAGAATTCCAGCATTCCTATGAAAGATTCAGAAAGGACATTTCTACAGAAATCCATGTGAATTATTAGCAAATAACACTTCAGTTTGTCTTTTCCCAAAATCAATTTTTCAAATATAACCAAACTAAATGGCTTTGGCCCATCATGTGAACTACTCAGAAATAATGAAAACTGTAATTTATAGTAGCACACATATACTTTTAATTAGACCCAAACATAAATTATTTATGGCTTTCAGTTGAAGTAAAATAACTTAAATCAAGCTGCCAAGCTTCAAATTCATTTACAAATTATCTCCAATGGAAATTTACTTTTAGGATTGGGGTTGTAATTCTATTAATTCAAAATAAAAGCCTGAAGGTCATCAAGCCAAATCCTTTAGATAATTAAAGCCTTTCAGTTTTGCTGCTATGATTAAAGGGTATTTGTAGGTGGGTGTGTACCATAATTCCCGAGAATCTCACACTATTGTAAAAAGTTTTTACTGTTTGAATACTACTTATTTGAACAGGCTTGATCTTTGCAGTTATGACTGTGTACACAGTGTGCTTGAGCTATAGAACAGCTGAGCTCAATTTTATATATGTTTGTTTGTACAAACCAAATCAAGATAACATACTAACCGTCTGGCCCTGGAACACGTTTACTTTAAAGATATATTGCTCAGATTTTTATTAGACATGTATTTTACTTACATGTACATACATGTTAATGTTTCAATAAATAATCCTAACTTTATTTATTTCTTGTTTGCAAATTATGCATTTGAGAACTTTTATGCATGCTATCTTGGGAATATTTTCCATAAAACGTAATTCTAGGTAGGCACACCACGGAATCAAACAATGGCCAAAATAAGCGTGCAAACACTATTTTTGTTTGTAAAAATGTTTTACATGCAAATTAGCATGCAAATAATTTCTATTCTCTTGGGAGCTGTGGTGACACAGTTAAATGGGATTTTTTATTATTTTATTTAACGATGGAATGCTGGAATATGAGGACAGGAACCCTGGCTGACCAAATGTCAACTCGGTCTCTTAAAACTTTCCAGAGCAAAAATATTGACAGTTCTCGTAAAGCTCTGAAAGCACATAGGGAGATGGAGGTAGCAAGAGAGCAGCTCATACACCTAAAACTGTATTAACTCACACAAATAAGAAACAATAGCTGGGGTCCACCCGCCTGCTGCACACTCACCTTCAAGTGTGTGAGTGACAGACTTTTCCCTGCCTCCTCACGCCACCACCTGGGCATAACTACTAAGTACATTTGGAAGAAGCAAAACACACCCTATATATACTAAGGAGCACATTAGGAAGCGCCTCAAAAATCTCAGCCCAGAAGAAAAAAATCTTCCTTCCCAAGCGCAGGGGAGGGAGGGAAGCCGCCCTGAGTCCGCAAGGAGAAGGGCGGGGTAAAAATATAAATAATAATAATAATAATAATAATAATAATAATAATAATAATAATAATAATAATAATAATAATAATAATGCATTTCAAAGCTGATCTGAGCCATTCTCACCTGTGATACTGAGCTTGGAGAAACTGGAACTCTTCTTTGATTCGGTCTAGAGACTCTGGGATGGTGAACTTAAAGGGCTGTCCTGCAGCTTGGTGTGGCGTCTGAAGGGGACAGAAGGAAAGGGAGGGCGAGGGGGAAACAGGAAGGAAGGAAGGAAGGAAGGAAGGAAGGAAAGGAGAGTTGTGAGAGAACTGTTAAGACAACAGGCAAAGTTGTAGCCCCAGCCACTGAGGGAACGAACAATGCCACCTGGCCCAGAAAGAGCACGTGGCAGGGCAAAGGCAAAATCCCCACGAAACCGCTTTTGCAGGGATGCCCCATCTCGGACTCGCTATTATTCATTAAAAACCACCGCAACACCACACTGGCGGGCAAGAGAAGCGCTCCCTCCAACGTCCTTGCCCTTTCCAGGAAATGGCAGCAGCGGTGTCTCGCGTTCGGTCTGGGGGAGGGAGGGGGGGAAGTACCCGTTGCTCTCCGCCTCACAGGCCGGGTCCTGAGGACAGGCAAAGGCAACCCAAGCGGCCCGGCCCGGCTCGGCCCGGTTTAGCCGGCCGCGAGTCAACAAAAGGGGAAGCCGCACGCGCCGCCGCCCCCCCCTCTTCTTCCCCTCCCCCTCTCCCCGCCCGTCGCTCCCCAAAAGCCAACGGAGGCTTTTCAAAGCGGCCTCGGGCCAGGCCAGCTGACGAGGCAGAAGTTTCCCAGGCCTTTCCTCGCCCGCCCACACCCCGCTTCCCCAAAGCTCGTTTTTTTTTCGGCCCCGGAAGTCAGGCAGGCGGCCAACAGAGGCAGCCGCTTCCACTTTCCGACTCCTGCGTTAGCCCCCAGAACCCACCGCGTTACTTTTTTGGGGGGGGGCGGGAAAAGGGGACCGGGGGGGGGGTGTTGGGGAAAGTGAGGAAGCCAAGGGCCACTTACGGGATGCCGGCTCTGAGGAAACATGGCTCTGGCCGCCGCTTTCCTCCCTCGCAGGTCTCGCCTCGCCTCGCCCCCTGAACTTTTGGATTCCGCGGAAGCTCCAGAGCAAACGCCAGGTGGGAGGCAAGCGGGGAGGGCGCTACTCCGCTTCTTGGCTCAGCTGCAGGCTCATCCTCCCCCCCCCACGCGGCTTCCCTCCAGCCCCAGCCCAGCCGCTTCCTTTGTTGTTAGCTCGAGAGGGCGAGGGAAGAAAAAAAAAAAGTCACCGGGGATCTGCCCGAGCGAGCACAACAAGCGATGGACAGTCCGGGATGGGTCCTTCCTCGCCGCGCCGTTCTTCTTCTCCTTGTTGTTGTTGCCGCTGTCGCTTCTTGGGGTTCCTGGGTTTGTCGGTTTCCTCCCCCGTCTTTTTTTTCCTTTCCTTTTCTTTTTTTCCCCCCCTAGGAAATAACCTTCCTTTCCTCGGCCGCCAAACGCACTTCGAAAAGACCCACCAAACAAACCACCCCCCGAAAGATCGGTGGCTTTCGAGGCGAGCGGAGGAGCAAATCCAAACAAGTCAAGGGCTCTTTCCGACCGTCGGGGTGCGGGGCTGGAGCCGCGGAGTAGAGCCCCTGCCGAAAGGCCGCGCTCTTCTTACCCGCCTCGGGAGAAGGAGTCAAGGCCAGATCGGGCCCGGGACGCGAGGAAGGAAATCGAGGGGGAGGGGGGGGGGAGAGGGAGGTTTTACGAGGGCAGGAGCCGGACTGAAGAAAGAAGAGTCCTGAGAGTTACACGGAGGGGAGGGAAAAAAAAACCACCCCACCCCCCCTTCGGCCGCTCTTTCTCCCTCCTGGTACCCACTCTTCCCAGCGCAGTCGGTCTCCAAATCAAGAAGCGCTTCCCCCTCGGAGCCGTGCCGCGGCGGTCTTCCTAGGCCCGCAGCGCATCGACCAGGATCCTCACGTTTAGAAACCCGAAACGAAACCTCCTGTTTGGAGCAGAAGCATCCCGGGCAGACTTCTGGCGGCGGCGGCCTCTGGTCTTCCGTTGCCTTCCTTTCTCTCTTGCTCAATCCCGGGCCAAAGTTCTTCTTTGCAAGATCCCTCGAGGAACCATCCAGGCGGGGGTGGGGAGAAGGCGAGACCTTCTCCTCCCCCCTCCCCAAAATTATCGCAAGGGTTTTTTTTCCATGGAGACAAGGACCAGCACGTAATAAGAAAAAACTCCGCAGGATACACAGCCCAGCCCGGCTCGGCGGCGGCGGCGGCGGCGGCAGGATCTCAATAAACGGGACACAATGTATCCGCCCGCGCTGGTTACATTAACACGCGGTTTCACACTCCTCGAGCTAACCAGCCTCTTGGCTCCGCCCCGAGCGAGAAGGAGGAGGGCGTGGGGCCAATCGTCTGCTTGGGAACCAACGTGGGGCAATGACATCAGGCCAATGGCGGCCGACTCCGGTCAGCGTCCCCTCCCCTTCTGCCTCCCTCCCCCTTTCCTAGGAAGCCTTTCTAGTTGAGCGGCAGGACCCCTCCGAGCGAGCCAATGGGAGGCAGCGGAACGTTCAGGCAGGCAGGGAGAATAGGAAGGTCGGGGAGAAGGAGAGTGGAGAGGCTGGGCTGTCAATCAAAGTAACGTGGGGTAGAATATGCCGAAAGAGAGAGAGAGAGAGAAATGACTGCTAGGCGCTCGCTTTCCCCCCCCTTCTCTCTCTCTCTCTCTCTTTATTATTCTTCCTTTATCTTGCCCCACTCTTTCCAGAAATCGGTGAAAATAACGTTAGAGAGATAAATAACGCATCCCTCATTCAGGACAAGCAGTACCTACAGTTTAGATGGATGCTTCCCAGTTTAAGCTAATGGAGGTTCGAGGGGGCATGGTGTCGCCTCGGAGGATGAAGTGTTCGCAGCGATCTGTATCAAAGTTTCCTAGGAACGAGTCTTCTGGAGTGCTTCCGGAAATGTAGCCTCTTCTCACAACAGTTTTCTCTTTAATTTTGTCAGATCGGGGAGAGTGTGGGCTGAAGTGCCCCAGGTAGCCAGCCAGAAAGACTTAAGAGGCACGTTGGTATCCATAGATTTAAATATATTCAGCAAATATCACAGATGTGAAGTGGCCGGCTTGTTTCCTAGGGCCTGTTGGAGGTCTTCTTATCGGGTGATTTTAAAACTGCTATTTCAGCTCAGGCTGATGCCCGGTTCTTTGAAAGTTTCCGAGTGACAGCTATTGTGATAACTCCTCTTAGGAAACTCTAGCGTATTTTGTTAAAGATAGCCTGTAACAAGAGGCCGAGGCTCCATTCCAGTTTGGCAAAGAAATCCTTCCATTATTGAAACTTTGGCAAGACAGGTCCCCAGCAAAGTACTTGAGCTTTTGCAAACATCTTTGGTGGGCTCTATTGTCTTCTTTTAGAGTTTCACCCCATGATTATTACGCTAAGGAATTTCCTTATTCATTCCTCTCCCTTCAGTTGAGGAAGGAGAAAGAAGAAGCAGAATACTTTCTTTCTGATACCCTACTGATGGTTCCTCAAGTCTACCTGGGACATCCTGAAGTGAGGATTTTGTTTTCTTTTAATTTGCTAAATTTCCTGGTAAAGGCTTGAAAAGACCCTCATTGGGAGCAGAACAAGGACTCCTGCCCTTTCTTCAGAAGAAGCTTGGCCAATCCAATCCTCTAGTGAACCCAAGCCAGCAGACTAGGACAAGTTTACTTTTGTACGTTTTTCATTTTGTTCCCTGAACCATCTAACATCTAATTGCTTTCACTTTTTTTCTTAAATTTTCACTATGAAACTAACCTCTGCATACTCTCTTTAAAGTTTGCAGCTGACAGGTCTTTAACTCCTTCTTGTATGAGTTGTTTCCATTTCTGGGATTAGATTAGTGCTAGGCTTCCTTTTCCCCATATTTCTCAATCAAACCTACAAATCCTACTCTTTATGCTTATTGTATGATTCTAAATCCCCTGATTTAGAAACAGTCTCAGTTTATGTTCAGTTCTAATCCCCCTGAATTTATTTTACTTTTTCTGAAGTTCATGGGGTTGGGGGTTTTTTTTTTGTTTTTTTTTTGGCTTTAAGCTTTTATCAGGGTTCACCAAGCCACAAGATACTTTATATGTGGGCTCAATTTACATATATTATACATAGTGAGCATCCAGGCAGGTTAATGAAAGTATTTACAGACTGATGGAGAATGCCAGGCAGACATGACTCAAAAAAATCAAGGCAAACCTGTGTCATTAAACCTGGAAAATCAATATCTCACACTTTCTTTTGTTCTTTGCAAGTTTGCTTTGTATGCTCTGTGATGCTCTTGTCTCATTGTTTGTGCTCTTGGTGGGGAGAGGTTGAAGTGTTGATTATTGAAAATATTCCTGAATGTGATTTTTTGTACTTGAGGCTAACAGGGCAGTTGCGAAGTTGTTTATTTTGTTTGACAGAGAATGCTCCATTGCTTGCTATTCGCTTAATGGAAAATACGGCCAGCATTCCCTGAACACAATGCCTGCTTTTATCTCGCCTCTAACTTTCCTGAGATTCACTTAAACCGCACTAGACAAATTTACCATAGTTGTGTCGGATTAACAGCTGGACAAAGTACCCCTTGGTCTCACCTTGGTTAGACAGGGAGAGGAAAAGGTCTTTTATCGGAGTCCTTTGTCAGTTTTGAAATCGGAGCTTAAGTGCCCCTATATTACCAGAAGCTCCAAAAGCGGGTTAATTATGTGGGGGATAGAGATCGAAGAGGCACAAAAGGGCTCATCTAGAAACAGGGTAGGCCGCCTTAAGCAACACACCTTCCCCTTCCTCATTGTTGTGGGCTTTGGGAAATTTTGTAAGATATTCCCTTCTGAGAGCATTGCTCACTTCCTCCCTTTCTGTTACTCTGAAGTTAATTGGGCTGCACTGGGTAGCATTAAAAGGTTATTCCAGGGCAGGAATCTGGATCTGTGGTTAGTTTAGTATCCCTGGATTTGAGTTGGAAAGTAGTAGTGTGAAGAATCTCCTTTTTGTCCCCCACAGATGGCTTCCAAAGTTCTGGCTTCGCTGCTAAACCATATTGGGCATCTCCGAGCGTAAAGAATCTGGAACATTGTGGCTGCATAGAGGCTTAGGTGCCCTCAGATTGGCAATGGGCCTCCTGTGCAGCAGTCTTCCCCTTCCCTGTTTGGAGACGAGTGTCTGCTTAGTTTGTTTTTGGAAGAAGCAAACTGAGAAAGCATCTTTAGGGTTTTTCTGCTTTGCTGCTCAGTTTTGCTTGCTTTAAAGCAGACCAGCAGGACATCTTTTTGGATTAAGTGGCATTTGGGTGTTGCGCAGGAAAAACAGTACTAATACATCTCATTCTTCACAGTGTATTTTCAGTTGTTGATATTGTTCCTTTGTTGGTGTCCTTCGGGGGATCCAATGTTTGCTTTGTCTGTGCATGTGCGTTTCATGTGAATTTATACTTCATTTATCTAGAAGAGATAACTTTTGTTATTACTTTCGCTGTCTATCTCTCTTTTCCCCCCCTTTCCAAATAAATCTGGCAAGAGGCAAAAGAGTTCCTGCTTCATCCCTCATATTTGTTTTGAGTAAGCCTAGCTTTTCTACTGGTGATAAGATAGTAATGCTAAGCACTTCGAAACCAATTCTTAGCAGGCTAATTGGGGGCGGAGGTGTCTGTTATTGACAAAAGTCCATTGAACCAGAGAATAAGACCTTGGGGAGGGGATTTGCACAATGTGCATAAATAATATCTACAAATAACAAATTGGAGTCAATTGCATTTTTATGAAAATATTTCTACAATGATTCAAATTGCAATGGAAATTGGGTCCACTGTAGACAAAGTCCGTTGTATCAAAATCCACTAAAACAAGGCTTCACTTTGAACTGAAAGTTAAAGTTAACTTGCTTCTTTCAAAAGAACAGAAACATTCTCTGAAATTGTTTAAGCTGAATCTACTTCAAAACCAAAGGATAAACTTCCTAAACTTGAGAAAATTGTAATAAAACAAGGAAACTGTCCCTAGGATCAGTTGCTATATCTGATGCTATAACCACTGCAAAAGAACAC